CATTGTTCTTTCACTGTTATATAGACGATTGAGTTTCAGAAGCGCTTATATGGGGATAGTCATTTGGACTGGTTGGAATGTGATGTAAGTTATATATGTATGTGATAATTACATAGTAAATATTTAGTAAAAATACTAACTTTATTGTATACATTTGTTAATTGGCAACACATCGTGATCTGGAATGTCATTGTTGATAGTGTATAGGTTGGATGATGCTCGGTGGACATTTGTGCCGACAACTTTCAGCATTATTGTGCCAACTAAAATAACATGGTTAATGGATCCATTTACTCATCTTGGTCTGAATGTGATATGGTATACTTGTGTTTCAATTACATTACCTAAGTAATAGTAACTTATAAACAATGTTATTTAACGATTAGTTATTCCCAACCTTTTATGCAACTTTACATCACTATCGATATATCGAGTGCCCACTAGTTTTTGAGAGTTTTGGATTTCAAAGCATTCACAATGACTACATACAATAATCACTGGAAGGGAGAATATTTTCGAAAGATGAATCTTAGTTTATAGATATGTGAACCCATATCCACAAACTCCTAGTGAGTATCAACTATTAAGATATCAAACCTACTAATGTAATCACCCTTAAGGGTTTCAAAATCAATCTTATAAAAGGCACATACAGTAAATGGGATTGTGAGATGTTCTTGTGTTAGTTCCTAGAAATGTTGTTCGCTGAGAAATCTGTGAGGATAAAAGATTCAACCGAAACTTGAGCCATGTCATATCACAAGCGATTGGTTGAATTTGTATGGTGTACAAAAAAATAGGGGTCCATTTTAACATTGTAGTATTATTTAAAATATATTTAAGTTTATGTAATTATTACTTTTGGTAATAAATTTAAGAGTCGCAAGCATTGTTATTTTTTGCAATACATACAATTTATTTTTTAAAAACCATATTTTTTTACAATAAGCACGGTTTATGTTTCAAAAACCATATAAAACATAAATAAACACACACAATGATTAAATTTTTTTAAAACAATAAAAATTGCTCTGCCACACTACTCCCGTTATTGAATAGTCTCTCCGAAATGCATTGTTTCAAAGAAAACGATTATTTCACAAATTTTATTAATGTTATTTAAAAAGAATACTTCAATTCATATATCATTGAGATATAAAGCTTCGAGTTAATGAGGGAGATTAAGGTGTTGTTTGTTTTTTGTCTGCAGATCTTCTTGACATCTTCTGTCTGCGCCACACAGACTTCACAAACTGTTTGTTTTTTTGAAAACAGTTGACCTAAAAATGTATACGCGTGGCGCAGATGTATACCAGAGTCTTCTAACATCTTCAGACATCTGCTAGCCTAAAAAAACACATATCTTTATTTTTTAGTTTTTTTATTTTTGTTTATTCCAACTTTATTAATGATGAACAATTTGAAAAAAAAAAGTTACAATACTTAAAATAAAAGGTTCAATAACACAAACATGATATTTTTGACAAATTTATAAATAAAGATTTATTACAATAATGGTCGTTAAAGTTGTTTATATAAATATGAAAAAAAATCATAATATATTCTTATATATTTTATATCAAATTTTATAAAACATTATTTTATACAATATCGTCAATTTTTTGAGAAAATATTTATGATACATTTTAATTGATTTAATTGAAAAAATCAAAGTTGATCCAGATTTGTTAAAACATTCTTTGATTCTTAATTATAATGTTGAGGTATAACTTTGCAATCAAAATTGTTGGTTTTTATAAAATATATGTGTTAATTCGTATCATTTTTATTTTCATTTTTTATACAATAATACATAAAAGTTGATATAGATTTGTTAATTACTTATAAAAAAATCATAAAAATATTTAAAATCATTTTGAAGTTTTCACTATGAGGCAAATTGCTTTAAAAGTTGTATCAAACAAAGTGACAAAACATGAGAAAACGTGCATGGAAAATTAACACACGTTTATACCCTTTGCATTTGATACTTGCGGTTTCCTTGCGCCAAAAGCTGTAGAGCTACTCAATAGAGTCCAACGGGTCATACATAGTAATGTTATGATTCCAAGATATATAAATGTTTTTTTTTAAAAGAATTTGTTTTGCCATCTAAAGAGGTTTGCGACACCGTTTGTTGCTCGTTTACCAATAACGTCTATGTAAATCTTCTTTTATGAGTTTATATAAATAAAAGTATTATTATATCCAAGTGATTGAACTAAAAAAAAAGTTTAAAAAATTAGATTTTAATTTATTTTAGTAATAAATGTTAAAAAAAACAATCTTTCTTTAGAAGGCAACCCTTTAATTCTCACTTGTTTTACTATAGAGATTTTGCATTGTAAAAACACCACCTATAAAGTTTAGGAATTAGGAGTAGGTTATGTAAAGAAAGGAATTAGCTTCGGTATTTGCCCATTTTAAGTTTAGGAATTAGGAGTAGGTTATGTAAAGAAAGGAATTAGCTTCGGTATTTGGCCTTGTTAAAATGGAATTATAGTTTTGTGTTGTCGTTTTCTCTTACCATACGTTGCTGTTCCTTCGTCTTGGTTAATTTCATCATCGTACAACAATCACGCCACTCTTTTTGCTCCCATTCCTTCTCCCACTCCTGTCTTGGCTGTTCTTGGATCTCTCAACCAGTCAACGAGCATGAAGAGGATAGTAAGTACGTTGTTTCTTTATGTCCTATTTTTCTCAAATTAGCGTACACAGTCTGTCGGATTCTTCAAGAGCTATGTTTTTCCTGATCTGGGTGATTAACGGTCGTAGGTGCTCATATCTTTTAATCCCATTTTGGGTATTTGCCCATCCCTCCCTTTTTATCGATTTCAAGTTCCCTTCTTTCTATTTTCTTGTTAGCTTTCTAGACACAGATTTGAGGTTTTATCCGTGTTGTATGAGATAGATCTGATCTTTGCGATCTCGTTGTGTATCCACATTGTCTCTGATTTGATGGTACTGATATCTGAAATGACTCGGTAGTATAAAGGGCTTTTTGTTAGTTTTTCTGTATACTGCTCCAGTCAGTGCGTTGCGATCTATCTGTTTCATGACTGATTTTTAAAGATGTAATATAATTTATGTTTGATATTCTTGTTATCAGTATCTTAGAGTGTAGTGTATTCATGTTAGATTGTTTCTGTAGTGAGTGGGAATTGCTGTCAGATTTTACTTTTAGATCTGTGGCATCACGTATCTGCTTTGTTGAAAACCGTACAAATTTAGTTACTAGTACTACTAGAAAGTGAGCAAAGCACCGCATAAAAATTAAAAAACACCAAACAGTTGAGATTCCTTCCTTGCCATGAAACTGTGTTTACCTTTTTCCTTTGGGGTTTCAGGTGGCACTGTTTTTGCTTGTAGCAGCAAGCAATGCTATTCCTATTCCTATTGGTCTGTACAAAGGTGAAGGCGGAGAGTGTAATTATGACAGACATTTGATACCTCGGCCTCATAGTGTTTCCATTCTAGAGTTTGGTGCCGTGGGTGATGGCAAAACTGTAAATACAGTCGCCTTTCAGAATGCCATCTTTTATCTCAAGTCCTTTGCTGACAAGGGTGGCGCTCAACTCTATGTACCATCTGGCCAGTGGCTCACCGGAAGTTTTAGCCTTACCAGTCATCTTACACTCTTTCTGGAGAAAGAAGCCATCATTCTTGGATCCCAGGTCAGTTGTTATAAATCACTCATCCTATCCTCCTCCTCCTCCTCCTCCTCCTCTATACAATGTGTTGGTGTTGTAGGATGTTGATCATTGGAAGGTGATTGAAGCTTTACCTTCTTATGGTAGAGGGATTGATCTCCCAGGTCAAAGATACAGTAGTTTGATCAACGGTGATAATCTAAATGATGTTGTCATAACAGGTATTATAAAATTATAACAGGATAGAATAATTGTTAGGAGATACATGTATGTTATGTTATGTTATGTTTTGTTATAGGTGACAATGGAGTGATCGATGGGCAAGGGTCTGTGTGGTGGGAGAGTTTTGATTCTCATACACTCAACTATAGTCGTCCAAATATTGTGGAGTTCATCAACTGCAAGGATGTTGTTGTTTCAAACATAACTTTTTTAAATCCCCCATCATGGACCATTCATCCTGTATATTGCAGGTAGGTATTACTATTTACATTTTACTTAATGCTGTTGATTACTGATTACTGTTTGTTTGAAAATTTAGTAACGTCCTGGTTCAAAATATAACGGCAATCTCTCCGCCCGAATCTCCTTACACCAGTGGCTTGGTTCCAGGTATGCTAAATGTTGGTCGATTTTGAATGTGAAGGTAAATGGTAATACTAGTGATTTATGATGATAGATATTACTTTTACCTGACCAGATTCTTGTGATGGCGTTTGCATTGAGAATAGCAACATCAGCATGGGGCATGATGCCATATGTTTAAAGAGTGGATGGGATGAATATGGAATTGCATATGGCAGAGCAACAACAAATGTACATGTCAAGGGTGTGCGACTCGAGTCTTTTTCAGGGTCAGGGCTCGGTTTTGGAAGTGAGATGTCTGGAGGCATATCCGATGTGATTGTGGAAAATGTGAAATTGCATGACTCCCTGACTGGGATTGGGTTTTTCACATCAAAAGGGAGAGGCGGCTACATCAAAGATGTTGTCATATCCCATGTCAGCTTTCATAATGTTGTGCTTGCGATCGAGGTTACGGGTGAGGACAACGTTCATGCTGACGATGAATATGATCCTGATGCCTTCCCTGTGATCCAACACATCACTTTCAACAACATGACTGGCCTGAATATTACTTCACCGGGACGCCTTTTTGGTATTCATGAATCTCCTTTCACTTCCATCTGTCTCTCTAATGTTTCTCTTGTCCTCACCACGTCTTCCTCTTCTTCTTGGTTGTGTTCCAATGTGTTGGGTTTCTCTGATAATGTATCCCCTATGCCTTGCTTTCAACTCCAAACCTTTCCTTGGAATTCTTCAGCTTGTTTTCCTGCTTCTTCAACCTCTCGTATTGCATCCCTATAAACCCCTAAGTTCAAATCATCAGTTCCCAAAATCTTTCCTACTCAATCCCCAACCAATTCTTCATGTCATCAAGTCTGTGTACATCCTTGTTTCCCTTTATTTCATGTCCCAAAAATTTTGGTAGCAGGTTGATTTCAATTCTCATTTTTTGTGATTTTTTTCTTGTGCATTCTTACTGTATATTTAGTTTGGATGTCAGCTGGACAAACCACAAGAAACTTTTTAGCGGTGTATTTATTATGAATTCGTCTTTAATAGATTTTTGTGTGTTGTAACTAACATGCATACAGAAAGGGTTCAACAACAATCACCTAAACCTATACTCATCATGTTTTAGTAAAAACAACTTTTTTTGTGGTTTTAGAATTTTCTTCCTCACCAAGAAGGAACTACAATGACAGATGGAATTTGGAAATAAGCATGAAAACAAGTAATTACACGTTTTGTTTCTTTAAAAATCTATATAATCAGTAATCTAATTTAATACATTTCAAATTCAGAAACTATGAGTAAAATGATGGTATGTAGATTGTAGAGGCTGGGTGGCAATAAAGAAAGAAAAGCCTGTCTACATCTATAATAATTTGTAGTTTCCAAAAATCAAAAATAGGTAAGAGGAGGGTATTTCATATTTCATTTTGACAATATGGGAGGAGGAGGGGGGAAGGAATCAAGAAGAAGTCGGTGAATCATCTCAAAGGTAGTAAATGTAATAACAGCAGCCGGAGTCGTCCTCAGCAGATTTGTAGCACACCCACGGTAAAAACCAGGGATGCCCTCACGCTCAAACACTTTCTTTATGCAATCCACCATTCCTGAGTACCTCTTTTCAGAGTGGTGTCCCTGTTCTTGAAGCCTCGCCCTAACAACCTGTTCAATGTTTCTTCCAATGATAACTAACCCTGATACTTTAGAAACCATAAATAAAATAATATCATATCCCATCCATCCTACCTCATGTGGATATGTGAGAGTAGATGCAAATACTTTAGAAACTGAAGAGGCAACAGCAACATCACGTGCACCAAGTTGATCCACCTCTATGTTATCTGTGCCATCTTAAGATTAAGATTATATACATACATAGATAGATAATAAATAGCCTTGGGAATTGTTTTTATTTCAGACCTCTTCTAGCCAGATAGCCTTTAATCTTCTCATATGCTGGAAACTGAATGGCAACATGACTGATACCAGCCATTGCAGGTACAAGGCCACTGTGGAAAGATGCAAAAATAAAATTCAGTGTATATTATTATATAATTATTAATGGAATTGGAGTGGAGAGAGGACCTGACCTGTATAAGCCACGGATACCCTCTTCCCGACCAATTCTCATCAAAGCTGACAGTGTACCACGATATGGCATTACAACTCTTCTCATTCCTTGTGTCTGAGAAAACACAGAAATTAAGATCATCATACTACTAATTGGCATTGCATTTTAATTAAAAACTAAAGGATTAAATCATCATCATACTTGTAGCCTTGTCTTCACAACCCACAAAGGATTTGTTACAATTGTTGTTGCCACTCCAGCCCCTGAAGCAGCTATCATATTCGCACCAAAAGATAGCTGATGACTTCCATCTATTATTATATCAACAATACATACATACACCACCCAATTGTATCAATAAACAGAAAAGCTTCAGAATCCAAACCAATGAATATATTTCACAATCTAACCAGAGCTAAGGGAACCTTTCAGCCAGTCATAAACAGTAAAATACACCTGCACAAGTGAAAACTTATTAAACATGAAAACTCAAGCATATGTAATCTACTTACCACCCCACCGCCATTTAAACATATGAATATTGTTAAAATCAAACTTGTAACTTTTCCCTCTCATATATGATATATAACTATAATATATCTATATATAATGGATGGCTTTAGTACTGTTCCTTCTGGTTTGGAATTGGATCCACTTATGACTTATGAGAGAAGAAGACATGATAAGCAAATATCATAATTGTTTCCTTACATGCTCATGTGGATATTAAATTATATGTGGGGTGTTTGTGTTTCCTTCTTAAGTAATAATGTTCAGCCTAGCAAATGAGAGATCAATGTTTGTATAATTAAATGATTTAATGGAGTGTATTCTGTTATATAAATAACTGAAAAGGAAGTTTAATGAGCAGGGTTCTGCCTGATAGAAAATATAAAGCCTTGCAGAATGCAGCATTTAAATTTAAAAAATAAATAAATAAATAAATAAAATCTCAGTATCTCACACACCGCCCAGTTTGGAAGCAAGGCAATAATAGTTGGAGAAAGGCCACGGTACATGCCACGGAAGCCGTCTTTCCTGACAATCTGCTGTAGGCTCCCGACTATCAGACTGCCTGTTAGTGGTTGATAACAAAAAGTCAAAGTCAAAAGGCAAAAACTTTATAGATAGATATATCATATATATATACGATTGGAGCCACAAGCTATATAAACGTTGTAACATTCAACAGTTTCCACAAGTTTACACAATAATATTAATAAATAGATATAAATATTGCACACCACAATCAAGCATGATCCAAACGAACGACGAGTACACATAATAGTATCCATGACCAGACGATCAAAAGGCGGATTAATTTATGCAGAAATGGTTTGCATACCTCTAATACTTCCACCGTTAAGCTGCGGTAGACCATGAACCTGAAACCTGGTCTTGATCACATCTAAAGGGCATACAAATGTGGCTGCAAGGACTCCTGCATATGTTCATATTGTAAGACCAGAGAATAAACGCAAAGTAATAAAAAAAAAAAAGCGTGAAAGGAAAGAATTTTCGTATAATTAAGGATATATAGGAGAGAGAGACCACCGAAAACGTACCCGCAACAGCGCCGGCGGCGGCATTGCATAGCATGGAGGAGGAAGTAGGGGGCTGATTATCAGCGGTCATTGGTGAAATCGAGGGAAATACTTTGAAAATATTGATTAATAGGGTGGAAGGAGTCCTCTCTGGAGAGGGAGATCCTGGTCCTAGAGAAGCAAAGTCGCATGGCCAAGAAAAACGAAGGCCAGTAGAATAGAGATCGCTTGATGCAGATTGCAGAAAGAGATGGATGAGGGAGGGTTTAGCCAAGAAAAACAAAATCAATGGAGGTGTTTAGATCGATGAAATCGAGAGAGAAAACCTATATGCGGTTTGGGGAAGAGATGAGATGACATCCGTGCCCGGGCTTTGTGAGCTCCAACTTGCAACCCCGATCCGACGTGATCCACATTTTCTTTTCTCTCTAAAATTCTAGGATAAAATGAAGACATGACTCATGAGTAGCTAACTTTTTATACGTTTAGAGATGATCTAAATCGATTAAACAAAATATAGTATATTTTAAGTTATATTAATTTGAAATATTCCACCTAAATATTCAAGTGTCAATTAATTAATTATAACTTTAATCCATTTTAATATTAAAATTATTCATCTTTCAACTAATTAATTAATAACAACCATTCAATAACTTTTTTTTTAATTTATGTTTTATAATTACTAAGGTGTTGTTTGTTTTTTTTGAGACAAAATGTCTGCAGTCTGCGGATCACATCTGTAGACCTTTGCAGTAGAAGATGAGAACCAAACGTCTGCAGTCTGAAAAAAGAAGACTGTTTGTTTTATTTAACATCTGCGGGCTACTAAAATAAACTGAAATCTAAATAAAATGATTTTTTTAAACTTGAAAGTGAATTTTAATATTTTTATGACTTTGTTATAAATAATTCATGAATTTAGATCAACTTTTATGTATTATTGTATAAAAAATAAAAATAAAAATGGTATGCATTACGTATATATTTGATAAAAACCAACAACTTTGGTTGCAAAGTTATAACTAAACATTATAATTAGTGATGAAAAAATTTTGATACATAAATGGATGGAAATAAACTTCGATTTTTTCAATTAAATCCATTAAAACCGTTCCATAAATATTTTCTCAAGAAATTGACGATACTGTATTAAATAATGTTTTACAAAATTTGTAAAAAAAATATAAGAATATATATTATGATTTTTTTTTCATATTTATATAAACAACTTCAACGACTATTATTGTAATAAATCTTTATTTATAAATTTATAAAAAAATATCATGTTTGGATCATCGAACATTTTTTTGTTTAAGTTTTGTAATTCTTTTTCAAATTGTTTATCATTACTAAAGTTGGAAAAAATATAAAATAAAATAAAACTTGAAAAAAATAAAGATATATATGTTTTTTTATGCTAGAAGATGTCTGAAGATGTTAGAAGACTTTGGCCCACATCTGCGCCAAGAAGAGGGCGCGCAGATATTTTTAGATCTGCAGTCTTCAGAAAAACAAACAGTCTGCGAAGGCTAATATCTGCGCGTGGTCTGCGCGGTGCAGACAGAAGAGATCACACAGATCTGCAAACAAAAAACAAACACTACCTAAGTATTTATAGTAATATAATATAATATATAAGTATAAATGATTGGTAGTTACTCCAAAAAAAACTTTGGTCTTGATAATGTGTTTTAAAATATGTTCTTCTCCTAAGAAGAAGTCGACTATTCAACCAATGTGGTCTTTGGTCTATCAATATCATTGTGTTTCAAAATATGTTCTTTCCTTAGGAAGTCTACTGTTCAAACCATGTGGTGTACAAAACAAATAGTTTAAGAGTATGTTTAGAGTGTGTTAGCCGTTCTAAAAAAATGATTGGTAGTTGCACAGTATTGTATTTTACTATAAAAGAGGTTATACAAAAATACAAATTACAAAGTGAGGAGAAAACATATAGAAAGAAGAATAAAAAGAATATAAATATTTGTGTGTTGGTTTGAGTTTCTTTTTGCTACGTATCAAACCACATTACAATGTTACAATTTTAAATTTGTATGTTTGTAAATATTATTAGAATAAATTAATAGTTTTTGTTATGTCATATAGATTAAAAACAACCATACAATCATTATCGACGATGAAAACATAGGCATATGAAACACATTTTACAATGAGATTATTCAATATTATTATTTTTTGTGCTTATTTTGTAACTCAAACTCAAACTTATCTAATTAGTTGATGATTTAGATTTTTATTTCACATTTTTTGTATTCTTAATTGATATATATATATATATATATATATATATATATATATATATATATATATATATATATATATATATATATATATAGGGTTAGGTTCATGTGAGACGGCCTAATTTTGTGAGACCGTGAGATGCATTTTTTAATTTTTTAAATTTTTTTTAATTTTTTTAGTTAATTCAAGTTCCGAAAATAATATTTAAAAAAAGAATTTTTTGATTTTTCCATTTATTTTGCATTTTAAAATTATTTTTAGAATATATACAGTGTAATATTCTATTTAGAATATTTCACGTATTTTTAAAAAAAAAACAGAATTTTTTTTTTATTTTTTTTAGTTAATTCAAGTTTCGAAAATAATATTTAAAAAAAAGAATTTTTAGATTATTCTATTTATTTTGCATTTTAAAATTATTTTTTAGAATATGTCAATGTAATATTCTATTTAGAATATTTCACGTATTTTTCAAAAAAAAAAACGGGATTTTTTTTAATTTTTTTTAGTTAATTCAAGTTCCGAAAATAATATTTAAAAAAAGAATTTTTGGATTTTTCCATTTATTTCGCATTTTAAAATTATTTTTAGATTTTGTCTCACGGTCTCACAAAATTAGAATGATCTCAAATTAACCTGAACCTATATATATATATATATATATATATATATATATATATATATATATATATATATATATATATATATATACACACACACACACACACACACTAATAAAAGAGTAATTCTTTTGTCATGTATCACCATATTAGACCTTTTAATTAATGTGTTGCCACATGTCAATCTATTAGTTATCCATTTTAAATTTATTAGACCTTCTCATTAATGTGATGATATTGTCAATGTATTTATTCTCTATTTTAAATTTAAATTTTAAATTTTATATTATTGTTTTTCATTAATTCACAAATAAAAATATATCTAATATATATTAAAAATTAATTTTACATATTATTTGAATCAACGATTATAATTTCACATAACTAATAAAAATACCTCTTAAATTAATAATTTATTTAAAATAACTGATTAAAATTTTGAGTTTTTACTATAAAATTTTGATTAATTTTATAACCGTGGTTCCCACGCGTTATAAACTAGTATATATATATATATATATATATATATATATATATATATATATATATATATATATATAGAGAGAGAGAGAGAGAGAGAGAGAGATAAGATCGGGTGATGAATCGTTTTAAAGTAAGGATTCGTAAATACACCTTTAAAAAATTGAAAAAAAAATCTAAAAAAATACAAATCATAAAATCGAGCATAGTAATATATCCGGGAGAAAAAATGATCCATGCATCAATTTTAATGATACAAAAATTTTTTTTTTTTTCTCTCAGATATAGTACTATGTTCGATTTTTTAATTTGTATTTTTTTTAAGATTTTTTTTATAATTTTTTTAAGATGTCCTCACTTTAAAACGAATCCATTAAATGTTTTCTCTTAGATATAGTACTATGTTTGATTTCTCTCAGAAAATTACATTAAATTTGAAATTATAATTACATTTAAATAAAAAAAACTATTGAGTTGTAGTGAGAGTTTCGAACTCTTGATTTGTGCACAATAATTTAATATAAATATTAACATTTATATGTTATAAAAATAATATTATAAGTATTTATCATTGAAATAATAAATTTTATTATAAGTTGTAATTAATATTATAATAATTTGAAGTATACGATAAGAAATATATTTAAAATTGTGTTTGAATCAAATTGAATTATGTTCTTGATTTAAAATTATTTTAAAATATACTTATGTTTAACTAATTTATAAATAATTTATTTGAATATTTTTTATTTCTTATATTATTATTATTATTATTATTATTATTATTATTATTACTATTATTATTATTATTATTATTATTATTATTATTATTGTTTCAAATAATAATAATTTATTAATATAATATAGTCTATTTTTTAGTTTTACGTTATTTTAAACAGTTATTATTTTTTACTAATTAAAAACTACTTATTTGAAAATTTTCATTATTATATTTAAAAAAACTATCAAACTTTTTTATTGTGCTTTCATTTTTTTCCTTAAAGTTATGAAATATTGGAAGAGAATAAACCATCCAAATAAAATGGTAATTTGAATATCAAAACTATAGTAATTGTTATGTACTTCGATCAATCTTAAAAACAATATGTTAAGAGTGAGTTAGGAGAAGAGGAGTGTTACACTTGAGGTATACTTTGATCACTTATATTTTCTTATGAAAATATTAATATTTTATTTATTTTACTTTTCATTTACGATAAAGAATTAATAGAAAAAAAAATTGACAAATGTAATAAGATAATTTAATTTTATTAGTATAATAACATTTAAAATTGGGTACATCCATATAACTTTTGGTAGAACATAAAGAATTCATTTTTATAGGTTGTAGGCCCTGCAAGACGGTCCAATCATGTCGAAGGCTCGAGAGTGGTCCAGATAGGTTGTAGGCCCTGCGAGGCGGTCTAGTCAGGTTGAAGGCTCATTATGCATGTTGTTCTGTATTTGTTATATGATATGGTTATATTTGTATGGCGTTGGTATTTTGGGGGAACTCGCTTAGCTTTGTGCTCACAGTTTCAGTTTATTGTTTAAGGTACTTCAGATGACTCGACAAGGTGAAGGCGTAACCGTACACATCCTCGTGTTTTGGACTTATGGTTTCTGGTATATTCTGATATTAAACTATTTTGAAAACAATTTGTAATAAGTAATGGTTTCTGGATGTTTGAAAAAGATTTAAATTGGCTTGATTTTATGGGTGTTACATATGATTCGAAGAAGAGAACTCTAAAATTTATTCTTCTACTACTCTTCTATTCTCTTCTCTCTCTCTCTCTCTCTCTCTCTCTCTCTCTTCTCTCTCTCTCTTTCTCTCTATCTCTCTCTCTTTCTCTCTTTTTTTTCTCTCTCTCTCTCTCTCTCTCTAAGTTCCTTGGTTGCTAGGGTTTAGGCGTGAACCATTAGAGGCATAACACTTGTGGTGCTTGCTTCCAAGAGTTTTTCAAGAAGATTTTTTGATTAGTTATTTACTACAATAACTAAAAGGTATATAAACCCTAACTTGTTTGTGATTTTAGAAACTAGCATAGGGTTCATAGGTTTTTTGTTGTTCAATAGAATGTTACTTCAATAATGTTATGACATAGA